TCTGTCTGTCTGTCTATCTATCCATCCATCCATCTATCCATCTATCTATCTATCCATCTATCTATCTATCTATCTATGTCTGTCTATAAAGTACTTTGTCTGTATTCATCTTTCAATATCTCCATTTACATTTACCTGCTCCTCCCCTTCCCTGGGATAACCATCCCTAACAGGACCCATTTTACATTTCTGTTATTGTTTTTTAGCATATATTAATTTTACAAAGGGATTTTACTCTGATATCTCACACAGATATATATGTGTATATATATATATATATATATATAATTTTAATCAGATTAAACACCTTATTGATCTTGCCCATCCCCACCCTCCCATTATTCAACACCTTTCATTGAGTTTCCTATGTCATCTGTATGCATGCACTCAAGGTATTTGGATATTATTTGCCCTCTCTGTTTCTGTTTCCTCTTCCCTGTCCCCTCATCTTCCCAGTATATACAAATACATTATGTAATATATATGTGTATCTATATCTATATCTCTACATACATTCAACTCTAGATTACAAAGGTGAGTGAAAATATGACACAGTTATCTTTGAGCTTAGCTTATTGTACCCAACATGATGATGTCCGGTTCTATCCATTTTCCTGAAAACAACAATTTAAGTTTTCTTTATGGCTGAATAATAACAACATGTTGTTGCATGTGCCATATTTTCTGTATCCATTTATTGGTTGATGGTCATGTTGCTGATTCAACTGTTAGGCTATTGTGCATATATCGATCCCTCTTGTATATTGGTTTGCCCTCCTTCATGTGTGTGCTAGTAGTGGTATGGCAGAATCAAATTATTTTTGAAGAACCTCCCTTATGATTTTTATAGTGGTTGCACTAATTTACATTCCTTCCAATAGTGTATAAGGGTCCCTCCTTCCCCCCCCCCCCCCCCGCTAAATCCTGAGGAGCATTTGTTTTGTTTTCTTGGTGATTGTCATTCTGAAGGGGATGATGCGGTGAGCAAGCCGTGTCAGAAACTTAGAGGAACTCTACAGTATCAGAATTCACTGAATAGGGACAGATTGAAAAGCTGCAGTTTCACTGGCATTAGTGTGCCCAGCCCTGCTGAGGTCACTCGAAGGCCAGCCTTGGCAACATGGGTTTTTTATTGCAGTCTTCACTGAAGCATTCACTCTCAGGTGGCAGTTCCCGCCGCGCAGGGATTCAGAGGGGGAAGAGGCTGCAGACAGCCGTGCTGGAGCACAGCAGAGCTGGTACAGGTGCAGGGAGGTCCGTGGAGGGGACCCCACTGCACCCCAGGCTCAGAGCGGCTCAGGGCCCAGCGATGTCCAATGCCCGTCCAGGTGGCAGGTGGCTGCCAGTGGGGTGTGAGGGTGAGGCGTGGCCCAGGCAGGACAGAGGCGGCAGCGCTCCTGGGCTTCAGCAATTTTCCTGGGCGAGGCCTGTGACTGGTGACACGGCCGCAGGGTCAGATGCCTGCCGCCGCTCTGCTTTAGGGTGCTCCTTTTTAGAGTTCCAGGCAAGGAAGGGGGCTACCTCTGGTGTGGTGAAATCAGGTGGGTTTTTTGGGGGGAGGGTGGGGTATGTGTGTCATTATGACTTAATACATTTTCTGGTTTATTGACACAAATAAGTCATCTGTTTGAGCCTCCTAGTGTGCTGACTGGTAGTAGCTGTTTACCTAAACAAGATGGAGTCATTCTGTTATGACAGTTCCACTCAACGTGGAGTAAGCACAGCCTTTAAGCTGTGGTTCTACACCATGAAGCACAACCAAGAGTGGACAAAGCTCATTCTCTTCAGGGGAGATGGCATTTTAGTGGTTTTGGTTTGTATCTTTTCTGTGGCTAAGAACATTGAACATTTCTTCATAGTAGCCAACTGAACTTCCTGTGCGTACTGTCTGTTCACTTTATTTGTTCATTTATTAGTTTCATTATTTATTTTTGGCTGTGTAATTTTTGAGTTTTTTTAAATATTCTAAAATTGTCTATTGAACACTTTGGCTATTGAATACTTGGTAAAGATTTTCTCTTCCATTCTGTGGGGTGCTTCTTGATCCTAGTATTTGTTTCTTTTGCTGTACAGAAACCTTTTAACTTGATGCAATCCTATTTATGTAAATCCTATATAGAAAATAATTACCTGTGCCTTTATCTTTTAACTTTTTCTGGTAGTTTCTCTACTAAGTTCAGAGTCTCAGATCTTATATTAAAATCTTTTTTGGAGTTGATTTTTGTGAAGAATGAGAGATAGGAGCTTGTTTTTGGCTTTCTGCATGTAAATAACCAGTTTTCTTAGCATCATTTTCTTTTTTGCATGCAAACATTTCTCTGCTCTTTTATCAGCTAGTCCTCATTCTTTCTTCTGACTGAGAATGTTTATTTGTGGCTGGGGGAAAGGTTATGATTACAGAAAGGGAGAGAAGGAATTAAGGCAACAGAGAACCAAAGCAATGACCAGTCTCTGTGACAAGACTACCCTGTTCCCACAGCCGTGACTTCTGCTCTGAGGGTGAGCAAACTAGAGCCAGGTGGAAGAGTGACCAGGCAGGTGGAGAGGAGCCCCAGAGTGCCAAGTTCTGTGTGCGAGCTTGGGACGTGGGTGCTCATGGAATGACAGCGGTACAACCCTCCCCTGGCCTTGTCATGAACCAGGGAACTCAGTTACAAGACCATTTTAAACTCTGTAATGAACAGGCCTCTGTGGACAGTGGCCCTCTGCCACCAGGTATGACAGTCACCTGTGGTAGGGACTTCCTGATCCTGGCAGCGTGGAAAGCAGTTGGGCGTGACATGGCAGGTTCAGGGTTTATGTTATAGAGTCAGTTCATGTCATACCCAGTTTGTTGCACTCTATTAAGCTAACTTGGGAGGTTGTGATAAGCCCAGGAATACAAAGGGTGCCCCACACAAAGGGCACATTTTTTCCTACGGAATGCTCCAGCACAAACATTCCATAAATCGCTAATAACTATTTGATAGGTCTACTTTCAGGGGTACTCAGATTTTTTTCATCCTGTTTTCCTGCCTCTATACTTTGTTTCTTCTTCTGCTGGGCAGGCTTTGCTAGCCAGCATTGCCTCTGCTCCTTCCTTTTCCTTGACCTTCCACTGCCTCTCTCCTTTTGGCCTCTAGGACATTGCTCAGCACCCCATCCAGGACTCACTGGAGTGGTGGAGGGACTTCCCCTTCATGTACCAAGCCCCTCCACACCTGCTTGGGGCAAGGGAAAAGAAAGTGGGCTGCAGTGGGAACCAGCCAGAATTATCTATGGAAGTGGCTTGTAGGCTCACTGAGTAGGAAACAGCTTGGAGGAGATGAGGGGAAAGAATACATTTCTGGCAGAAAGAGGAGCTGATGCTCTTGGAAGAATCTCAGTAATGCACTGTTTTCGTGGTTGGTCTTTGGAAAGGAAGTGAGACTTGGAGAGCCAAGTAGGGATAAAACCTGGAGTCAGGGCCTTCGCTGTCCTTAGGTTCTAGGCTGGGTCGATGGCCAATGCTCTTGAGCAGTGTCCTCTGTGTTGGCCCTTCTTGGGCTTGGCAGTGCTGCTGGCAGGCAGAGGAGATGCTCTCACTGTCACTTCCCCACATCACAGCAGCCTGGGTGCTGAACTGCCAGCCTGGGTGGTTTTCTACTGGATTGAAGCTTCTTTGATGATTGGAAGTTGAAATGATGGAGGATATTCTTAGGAGATGATCACAATGGCTCAATAGCTATATGCATATGACTATATAAAATGATACTTATTGAAATGAACTCCAAGAAATGAAAACATGGAAACAAGGAGTTTTTTGTTGTACTGTTTGCAGTTATTTTTTTCCCCTTTGGTTTATTCCCTGTTGTCAGTTTGTTGTTATTTCAGTACCCTTTGTCTTGTATATAAGTTTATCTGAAACAGTGGGACAAAGGGTGAACCAATCTACCCATGATACTCACTAGACACTATGTTGGAAATGTACTTCACAACTTGGAGAGAAGAGAGGTCGGGAGTGGGGAAGTGGTAGAAAATGAAAGAAATGAACTCATTACTTTTGTAGCTATTACCCCTCTATAGATCACCTTTACCTAAAGTAAGATATAAATTTAAAAAAAAAAAAGAAATGATGGTGACAGTTCTCATTCTGCAAAATGAAGTAGCACACCAAGAAGGAAAGCCTGAGTGGGGAATGGAAGATCAGGTCTTCCTCTGAAAGTCAGTGCGCATGGTTCAGGGATACAGCTTTGGCACCAACCTGTGCCTCTAAAAGTATGCAGAGTTCAAATACGTTGAGCCACATTTAAGCCTGTTTTTTCCTTATCCCCAGGATTTAATAATAACTGGCTACCTCTTTTTTTTCTTTCTTTTTTTTTTTTGCTATCTCAAGGATATTATAAGTTAGAACATGGATTTGGCTGTGATTTGAGAAGACCCTTCACCAAAAACTTGGAATTCCCCCAAAAGACTGCTCTCACATGTTATCTCTGCACATAACAGGGTGCCTTCACACCAGTAGTGCAGTTCACTCACCATGATGGTAATAGTGCCAGTGACATAAAATGTCTCTGCCCTATTATGAAGATTATAAAGTAAAATTCCTACAGTTCACCCAGTACCAAGTTCTTTGGTTGGTAGGTGCATAGTAGGCAGATTGGGCTTGGAGAAGAAATGAACTTCCATCTGTTGGGAAGTAGTCACTGCTGCCTCAGCCCAGGCCTGGTTCTCTGCACCTGCACTAGTACTGCCGCAGGCCCCCTGAAGCCCGTGCATCTTCAGGCTCATTGGTGACTAACCAATTGTAGTTCAGATGTCAGACATACTTACTGTGTGCTGTGTGGCAAGTCTGGGAGTGAAGAGCATCTCGGGTCCTTCTGTCTTAGTGCTCTGTCATTGCAGTGAGAACTGATTTTATTTTTAACACCTTTATTGGTTTTTAGTGTCTTTAGCTTAGGGATATTTGGTTGGGTATGATTTTAATGCACAGCCAAATCACTTGTGCTAATGTATGTTTTTTTTTTCTTTTGTTCACGCAGTGGAGCTGACTACTATGATTATGGACATGGACTCAGTGAGGAGACATACGATTCCTATGGTGAGTGAGGGGCAGAATGACCACACGATCCTACTGAGGGGAAATTCATAGGTTTCGCTGGAAACCCATTTAGACTGAAGAAGCAGTCTTGTTTTAGTTCCTTTATATGTATCTGTCTCTTTTCAGGAGGTCCTTTAATATAACATTTAAAGAGAACTATAGACTTGTAGACAAATACATGAATTTTGGTTCAAACTTGGATTGTCTTGTGGGGTTGATTACTGTATGCTGTTTTTCTTACTTAATAGAATAATTTGCAAAACTACAGACACTTGAAAGCCTGAAGTGGCTTTGTTCCTTGATACTAAAGCGGAATGAAGAAATTGAGAGTACCCATCTGAAGTGATTCTTTCCCACCTCTTCTTTATGTTTTAACTCATTCGCAGTCTCAAGTACTTTGAAAAACGTACACTGAGAGTCATTCCATAAAGAGTACAACAGCACTGAACAGGGAGTGGACAGTCTTGAGTAACTTACATGGAGACATCTAACCTCTCCTTAATTCAAATGAAGCAGACAGAGATGCTGGGAAATCCATGTCCAAATTCTCAATATGTAGAGGATGGCAGGTTTAATTAAAAGAACTGGCTGCAGCCACAAAATGATGGTAAGACGTGCCTTTGCCACAGGGCAAAGAGATCAGAGAGCATGAAACTTCAATCAGCTACAGAGTTCTGAGATTGCCTGGTGCCCACTGCAAGTGAATCAGGGTCCTGGTTAATGGATGCTATGACATTTCTCTGAACATAACTGAAAAACCATTTTCCGGTGTTCCTTTGAAGTGCATTTTGTTGTATCACCTGCCCAAAGCTGTGATAACCTACCTTGATTCTTTTTTTTTTGTTGTTATTCGTAACAAACACTTAAGAGAAATGCATTGCCTTACTGAATGCTGTAAACTTAAATTGATGTAAGTTAGCTTGAGGGAGTGACGGTGATTACATGTTTGTATCAAAAGAAGAGGTCATTTTAAGCTTTTTTCTTTCACAGCTTTTTAAATTGGTCTCTATGGACATGTGGCCTTTAGATTGCTGTGTGTTGCAGCAGGGAGTTAACTCTTTGGTATCCAAAACCTGTAGGTAACTCTGTAAAAGTCCTCAGCCTAGAGATGTAAGTTCAGGAGATAAAGATGATGGATTTACCTTTGTTTACTAACTTTGTTTCTTACTCCTGAAATGTCAAGGAGGCACCATTTTAGCCCTAACCCTATAATTTTCGGAGTCTTTTTATGAAAGAGTCTGTGAAGACTGAGGCTCCTTCTCAATTCTGCTTTTCCCACTGTGCTCTGTGGTCTTTCTTCCTTTTCTCCGTGCCCCGCCCCCTCCATTGCTGGTGTTCATTTTCTTTCTCACTGTTAGGGGAAATGTAAGTGGTTCTCTCTTCTCTTTCCTACTCATAAATCCCTTCACATTTTGGAGGAGGCAGTTGGATTTGCTCCCTGAGCTTGGGAGCTTGAATTGAGTGAGTAGTAAAGGAAAGTCCTCTCCAAGTTGGTTGTCTCACACATACAAGGCTTGCTTTCCTTCCCATGATAGTTTTGCCAACAAAATAATACCTTTTTGCATTCCCTGTTTCTTTTATCAGTTCATCAGAGATATGTAACTTCAGTATGACATCTACTGCTAGTTTAGGGTGCAGTCAGATTCTGATAAATGAAGCCAGTGGGATCCATGCAGTGATTTAATTGTGATTCGTCTTACCAATTTCAGGGCAAGAGGAGTGGACTAACTCAAGACACAAAGCACCTTCAGTGAGGACGGCAAAGGGCATCTACAGAGACCAGCCATATGGCAGATACTGATTGTACTGTCTGATGTTGTGAAATAGCCAATCTCCACCCGTCCTGTATACTGTTCAAAGTAATTTTTTTCTATGAACAATCCCTTTTTAAATAAATCAAAATGCTTAAAACCTGAATGGATGGAACTTAAAACTACTTTGTTTGAAACATCCACCTGGGCAGGAAAAAACAAGACATGTAAAATTTTGTTATTTCTAGTCTGTATATGAAAAAATAGGTCATCAAAAGGAAAAAAAATAACTTTGATTAACTAGTGTTAAACAAAAAGATAGGTTACTAAATATGTTAATCCATTCTTTTAACATAAGCCTCACCTTTCATTTTAAAGGTTTCCATAGAGTTTAGTTATTTTATCTTTAAGCCATATGCTAGTATTTTTTTTCTTCTCTTGCCAACATGCGTAAAAAGGGAAGCCAGTTTCAAGTGAAAATAATGTGGTATTCTTTTGTAACTCAAGTCTTGAAATGTTCTGTAGTGTTAAGCAAAGTCTCCTCTTGCTTGATACTAAATAAACTTTTGAAAGAAATTTTGTGTGTGTGAGCTAACCATTTCATGTTTCTCTTATTTAAAAAGGCCTTCATAAATAGTTGTAAACAGGGAAAGAATTCCTTTAACAATGCTTGTCATAAAAGGGTCACACTAAACATTGTACAACTTATTTTAAAAATGGTATAAAATTAAATGTGCCACAATGTGCTCACCGTAGATTTAAATGCTGTTTAAAGAGTCCAAATGGGATCAAGCTGCGTGATTGGCCCGTTAAAATTACGCCAAACCAAATCTTGTTTAAAAGCTGGTTTAAAAATAACTACTGAATTTTCTGGAAAAGATGTGATCAGTTTTCATCTTGTTGAGCGTTTTTTCACTAGTGCAACTTTGGATTTTTTATGAGACTTTTGGTACCTTAATGAACACCTGGCCTCCATGCTGGAAGCAATAGCACAAAGCTTTTAAAGACATTCTGACTTGACTAATTGAGGTCGCACTCGCCAAGGCTGAGGATGTGTAACCCTTAAACGGTCTTCATTTTCAAAGGTAAATAAATCAAATAAGATTTTAATCTCACTTAATTTATCTTAATATAACTAATAAAAACAGGGAGATTACAACTTAGCGAGTTTCATTATCCATTTTAGAAAGGTTTTAAGATCACCTAAATTCTCATTTTAAAAAGTTTAATTTGTTTTAGTAATCTAAAAAGCCTTAGTTTAGCCAGTTTAATTGGGGCCAATTATTCCCTATTAAACAAATGTAAAACATCATAACTAGTTATTTGTAATACAGTATTTGGTTAGTAAATGAGGGCATTCTTAAAACTGACAAAGAGGAAATAAAGTTATTCTTTAATCATTTGGCTTAAGATTTAATTGTAGATTATATTAAATGTTTAATTTTTATTTTTGAGAGTTTTCTTCTGTTTAAGTAAAAAGATCTCTTCTTTTGTTAGGATATGTCAGCCATGTTCGGATGTCAGAGGAACTGGTTCTGACTTGGAGCAAGCAAAGGTAAGCATTCTCTGGTTCCAGTGCTCTGAGTTGTTTGGGGAGGTGAAGATAATACCCAGGGAGACTCCGCACTGCCTCTCCTTACCTGCACTTGGATCTTGGACCTCTAATTTGCCGGCCATCTCAGTAGTTAAAGAGTTCAGATCATCTGCTTCCAGAAAAATACAACCTCTCATCAATACTATGAAAATGTTTTTCAGATTAATAAATTGAAAAATGTTGTTTGCCAGACTTAATGTATAATGTGAACAAATTTTTACTCTCTCACATATTTACCCAGCTAAAATGACACAGATAAGCAGGAAGAGTTGTATTTTGTTTTGAGGGGATGGTCTCTCTGTAGCTCAGGCTGACCTAGAATTTACCACCCTCCTGCCTCAGCCCCTCCCATGAGTGCTGGATTGCAGGCTTATAGGATGTGCTTTGCAGTAAGTAACTATTCTGATCTTGTCTAAGTAGCGCTTATTTTTGTGCTTCTGGGTTTTGCAAAACAAATGACTACTTTTACATGATAAATATTCTAACAGGTGTTGCAGAGAATTTGGGCATTGTTTGTGAGGGAGTACAATATTAGGGATGGAATTCAGGGCTTTGTGCTTTTCAGGGCAGGCTGTCTACACCGAAGTCAAGCCTCCAACTCCTTTATCTATTGGTTTTTAAGACATGGTCTAGATTGATTCCTCAGCCAACCTGAGCTGGGATCCTCCGCTTGCTTCCCCTTGTTTCTGGGGATGACAGGCTCCTTCCACTGAACACAACGGTTGATTGAGATGGATTCCCCCGCTGGCTTCATACCTCCCAATTAGCTATGACTACAGGCTGAACAACTGCTCCTGATTGGTGAATAAGTGTTTTTAATGTAAAGATCTACGAAGATGTCTAAAAGAAAGATTATCATTAATCAGGTCTAGTTTTTCAGGTATTTGTTCATTGTTCTGAAAAACACGACCCAGGCCCTGCTGATCCCATCTTACTTTTCCAGTGTTTACATTGGAGCCCTTCCACTTGACTCTGTGCCTTTGGGCAAGTCTCCCTTTCTGCAGCAGTGCCATGAAAATGATGCTTCTCTTGTGTAGTTTTTAAATAAGACTTGGTTTCTTTTGTGTGCCAATCATGTGGCTTGAACTCAGGCCATGTAGCACTCTACCACTTAAGCCACAGCTCTACTTTCAGCTTTTTAATGGTTAACTGGAGATAAAATCCTCAGATCTCAGCCTCCTGAGTAACTAGGGTTATAGGTATGAGCGACTGGCTCTCTGTTTACTTTGTAAGACTTTAAAAGATAGGATATTATAATAGTTTTATAACCTGAAAGTGAGATACAAAATTTGATTGTCAGAACAGAATTCACCTATAATATAAATGAGAAATATATGATTTTCTTTTAATAGACCAAAATGTGTTCTTTGGAATGTGCGTGGGAATGTGTGTGTGTGTGTGTGTGTGTGTGTGTGTGTGTGTGTGTGTGTGTGTGTGGGGGGGAGCGGGATACAAATGGATGCATTGCACAGAAAACAAATGCAATATATACCATCTCTCTTCAACATATAATGGTGTTGGAGGTTCCTTTTTTTAAAAAGTGTATTTGTATTATCTCTAGATGTACAAAGGACTTGCCTTTGTAACAAAGCAGTTTAGGAACACAATGCATCTTGATCAATGTCACCCTTTCAACATTCTCACCCATTCCTCTCATATCTATCTCTTCCCTCACTCACCCTTCTTAATTATGTAAGATACACATTGAATACTTGACTGCATTCTTCCCCCCATTTTTTTGGCTATTTTTTTTTCTTTAGTACTTGTGCTGCTTTTGCATAGAAATGGACATATCAAATAATCAATGTAGGCCTCCTCCTTCCGTGGCTTGTACAGTAAAAAGCTCATCCTGCAGTGCCATGGGCTACAACCCAAATGCTGACAGAGCTGCATCCCTGACGAAGCTCTGAGAGAACCATCTCCCTGCGTTCACAGCTCTGGAGATGGCCGGTAGTCCTAGGAGCAGGCCCATCTCTGTTGCTTAGTCCAGCCAAGACCTGGGCCTCTTCACTGCCATCTGCTCAGGCTTCTTCAGTCAGCAGTTTTGGATAGGCAGAAGGTCAGCCCCAGATGGTCTTCTGATCTAATTCATGGAAATTTTGTACACTTAAAAAAAAAAAAAAAACAAGAACCCATAGCTTCCTGAGATTTGGGGAAAGGATTATGACCCATATATCAAAAACAATCTGGAATAGGTGCTCTATACTTGACTGCTATGTTAGCCCAATTCACTTCCCCGTAGCAAAGTACCCCACATGAACAATTTAAGAGATTTTAGCTCAAGATCTCAGAAGCCTCTGTCCCTCATGGCAGGGAGGCCATGGTAGAGTTGCTGTCCTTACGGTGGCCAGGAAGCAGGGCCATCCCAGGGCAGGCCCAGGACAGGGTGTGAAGTCTCCACGACCGACTGTATCCTTCACCTTCCCCATTTCCTTTACCTCCCAGCAGGGCATTCAGGGAGCACAAGCAAGCAGATGCAGATGTGACCCATTAGGGCTGGTGTCCTTGTGCAGGCGGCTTTCCGCCAAAAAAGGAACTGTGTCCTGTTGGGCTTGGGCCTCTACCTCCTAGCATAGTGCTGGCCCATACCTAGCAGGGACTGACAAGGTGTTCAGTGAGGAGCACAAGAGTAGACAAATGGCCCTGTTGTTCTTCCAACACAAGCACTAGGGTTGATTTGGTTTCTCATTGGAAATGAGAACTTTACATGCAGGTATGACCTTTATTTAATAAGGAATACATGTGTATGGTACAAAATAGGGAAATCTTCCTAAGTGTACAATAAAAAGTTGATCTTAATTCCCTACCACTACTAACCTTAGCATGTGTGTCTTAAGATCTGGGTGACAGCCTTTGGCCAAGCCCTGCTGATGCAACCACTGAAGCAGATGGCTGCTTTCCTGAGGCTGAGGAACCTCTCATCTTTGAGGAAACAGGCCATTTCCTTCACCCTGTCTTTGCAACCTTTTTTCCTCCTATCCAGATCTCACTAGTTCTTCCATACCCTCCTCCTCTTCATCAGAAGAGCTTTCCCTACCCAAGATTATTGGCTGATAATATTTAATGACTAATTTTGATCTACTAGTTACATTGGTACATTGTGTGGGTGGTTCATCCCCTATTAAGCTCCCTGATGGTTATGGATAAGTCTGTTATATTTTATAAAACTTAAAAGCACTTAGAAGCCATTCTGGAGATAATCTTTGGGTTATCTCAATAGACTCATTGGCTGGTCCTGGGGCTCATGCCTGTAATACTAGCTGCACAAGAAGCTCTGATCTCAGAAATAAGGATTGAAGCCAGCTTAGGCAGACCTATGTGCAAAACTCTTATCTCCAGTTAAGCTGCAGAAAGCTGAGGGTACAAGTGTGGTTCAAGTGGTAGAACTCTAGCCTCTAGCCCCAAAAGTCAATCAAGATGCCCTTAGATCAAGTCTCAATACCAGCACAAAAATCAACAGGTATTTATTGATTGAAGGTCAATAGAGATACTTGTATTTAATATGCTTAACCTGTTAAGATATATGCATGTTGTAGGTGACAAGCATGCTGTGTCTCTGCAACTCTGCAGGACTAAAAAGTTGGATAAAGGCAGAGATGTCACAATACTTCAAGCAGATAGGAGGAGAGCAAGGTTAGAGCCAATAGGCTGGACCAAGTGTGGAGATGGTGGACTGAGTATCGTGTGTCTGGAGGCCTAGAGCAGTTGCTAGAACACAAGGTGCCAGGAAATCGACAAAGAAGTGCCTCTGGAGAGAGAGGAAGAGGCGGGTCCCAGGGAGTCATGCACCCTGCACATTGAACAGTGTTGTGTGCACCTTGATGCTTCACCATTACTGTGATTTCCCATCTGGTTAGCACCTGGGTTTTGAAGTAACAGTTTTGCTCTTTGTAACACATCAAGTTCTCCTGTGTTCATTAATAAGCTTTACTGTTAAAAAATATATGAAAGTTTAGTTTTCATGTGACAAAATGCAAGGACAGTCCTTGACTCATTGAAGTTGCATATTTGAATATGGAGGTTTCATGTAATACAGCCATTGTCATTATGAAGCCAAACTATAAACATCAGAAAAGACAGCCCTTAATAATACTGACCACAGTATTTGATGTCCTTGACTTTAACTTAAATTTTTGGTCTTAATTATAATTTTTACTATCTTTTAGTAGTTATCCAAAGGGGCTTCAACTCACATTTTATCAGTTTATAAGCCCTTCCACCATTCCCTCACCATACCTCTTTTCCATAAAAAGCCTATTTTTACTAAACTTCTACATGCCTAATTCTTCTGCCTAAATCTTGTCTTGCTATATACAAACATTTCATTTTCCTCTCTTTCAGGAACTGTCCTTCTGTGTATGGACTGCTTAAGAATAGTCAACTCACCACTGTGCCTTGTTAGTAAATGAGTCTACTTGTGAACTTGAAGATCATCGTAATTTCTTATGTTGATTTTTGTACAGATTTTGTTTGGTGAAATGTTTTTATGATTTTTTTTTTAATTTGGAGGGCCTTTTTTCCTTTTTTTTAAAAGAAGACAAAAAATCATATTTTGTTGCCTCCTAAATAACAAAAAAAAAGTATGACATATTGGTTAATAAAGGCTGCCTGTTGAAATCTCCTCTGCTTTACTATAACCTAGAAGAATTAAAGGTCATTACAGCAGAACAGCTCCACACTTTGCATAATTGAGGGCCATGTTCAGCTACAGCTCACTGCTAGAGCGGATGGACGCATGATGTTTCCATCTCATTTAAGGAACAATAAATGTGAAAGTGTTAGGCCAAAAGTATTTTGTCTCATGAGAGGCTGATCGCATCACAAGATTTCTTGGAGGAGCAGACAGCCACTGATAGAAAAGCGCCATGTTCTCTGTCACCTCTGAAACTTTGCGGGGGGACGCAACGGCCCCTACCCCTGTGGTTGGTGCTGCTCTGCTCTCTCTTCCTGCTTGCCTGGTGCATTGGGATTTTATTCAGCACACCCCAGAAGATGTGTTTTCTATTTGCTGGAAGCTTAATGTGTTTCCTGGTCTCGGAACTTCAAGGAGAGTCTCACACACGGTTACATTTCCATTTTCTTACCTTAAAACGCCATGTTTCCTCAAGGCATTTACTCTTTGCAGCTCACTATGTATGTTTCAGACATTATGTTGCCACAGAGTAACCGTATAGTTGGCTCATCTCTTCCTGAGGACATAATTCTTTACTCCTGAGGTCTGGGTCTTTAGATGCCTCACAAGAACATATCACGAAAGCCTCAGGTCAGAGAGCCTGCGCGGCCTGAGAGCGAGAGAACCAGCGCCGGCAAGCCCCGGAAGGTTCTGTGTGCCCTTTGGTTGGGAATTAATTTTAAACAGGTAGAAGCTTCAGACCATAAGACAAACTGTGGCACACAGGAAAGAATTTGAACACTGCGGCCTTTTCCCCTGCCTAGTCACCAATACCGGTTGTAAGTAAAATCCCGTGGTGTAAAATTCCAGCTCATCTGTCTATCAGCTTCTCCTTGACCTCATTCTTAATATCTAACTTGTGGCCACTTACTTTACTGCCTGCAGCACTTAATCCACTGAATGCGCACTGAGAACTTCTCACTACTGGAGAGAAAGCCCAGCACAATCTAGAGCGAGTCCATCCTGAGGAGAACTGTCTCTGTGCTGGGAGACCGTGAGGCCCAGACGAGAAGGCCAGGTGGTGTGAGCCGGGCTAACACTAGAGCACACTGGAGGGGCTGGAGGGGTCATGCTGCATTGGGACAGTGGAGGAATGGATGACATCGTAGCAGGGACCTGTCCAAGTCAGTGGAGGCATGCTTGGGTGTGCGAGGGGCAGCAAGATGCCTGTGCGGAAGTCGTGGAGAGAGCCCAAGACGAGTGCCCTGAAGTCAACCCCCAGCCGGAGGCCAGAGCACGTGGGAGTCCTTTTGGGCTTCAGTGGGCGCTATTGGGGGGTTGGGAAGAACTGAGAAGAGTACAGTGGTCCAGTGTGTATTGTTTTCAGTAGAGTCACGTTGGCAAAGTGACCTTGAGAATAGGTGACAATGAGGCTGGGGAAGGGGAGACGGCAGCCAGTGCAGGGGCGGCAGCGGTGTGTGCAGAGGGCTGGCCAGAGTTCAAGTCACTGGGAAAAGGGAGCAGCTAGACTGAGAGATGAGGAAAGTACAGGGTGGTGCAGTCATGGCAAGAAGAGCATTGCCTCTCCCTGAGATGGGAAGATGGCAGGGGGGGAGTGGAGTCGGGGCTGCTCATCTGGAGGGGCTGGATCGCAGCTGGAGATGGAGGCTTGAAAGCCATTAGACTGGAGATGTCCTTTGAAGCTGTGCTGTGTGCGGAGAGGAGAGAACAGACGCGCGGAGCATTACCACACGTAGGATTGTGTCAGTGAGATGAAAAAGCTGAGCAGAGCTGCCGTGGGTGACGAGAGGGGTTCCTGGGCTGCAGATGGACGCAGTGGTCAGGGACGTGGGGGTGGGGGGGAGCGGGCGAGAGGGAGGAGTGAGGCCCGTGGGCCCTTCCCGGGACCTCATTCTCAGGAGCCGTTGCAGACACTGTAAACTTGAGATGAACGTGTTCCGAGCCATCGCAGTCTGCGCACAGTGCTGGCCTCCACTAAATACACAGGGGGCACAGCCTGGATGGGCGTAGACAGAAACCAGGACTGGACACTGGGGACAACAGCTCTCCTTGTGCCGGTCAGCTGCCCGCTCACAGTGCGGGAGGCACTGCCCAGGTGAAGGCCTGGGGTAGGGGTGTCTACATCACCAGGAGCGGAGGAAGATGATGCCCCACCCCCAGCCCTGCTCTTCCCTGGGGAGCTTCGTGAGCCTTCCTCCATACCTCTCACCTGTATTTCAGACAGCTGGGAAGTGACCTAGGAAATAACAGTAAATGTACAATCACTGGGATGAGCACCTGGCCCCACAGGACTGGACACAAAGCCGAGGGAAACAGAGCTTCCAAAGCTCCCTGTCTAGCCTAGTGTACTTACCCTTCTAGATCTTGCTTCAGGAACTCCTACCCCATACAGGCCAGACATCTCCTCATCTGTCCTGCCATCGGGCCTCGCAGCCTTTGTGCGCATCCTTGAGGATGCTGCAGCAAAACTATCAGGTGCTTTGTGCACAGCAGAAGTGCACTGCCCACTGTCCAAAGTGCCAGAGGCTTCCGGCCCCTCCTGGCGGAAGGGGACAAGGCACCTCGCCCGAGCCTTGAATGAGGCTGTGGATTCTGTTCATGTCTGCCCCTCGCTGCGGTCACATGGGCTGTCAGGTTCCACCATAGGGATTTGGGACCCAGCAGGCTGCGGGACAACACCTGATCTGAGGGGTTTGCATTCCCACCGCTCCAGGGCCTGACCTCTAGCCAGGGCCTGACCTCTAGCCGGTGCTGACCTCTAGCCAGGGCCTGGAGGGTCTGCCCGCCTGCCTGTGGCACTGGGGGCGAGTGTGCGAGAGGAACCGTTTGGCACAGAATAGATCAAAAGAGGCCTCTGGATTGGAGATGTGCCTTGACTTTTCCCTGGCCCATCCCAGAGAAGAAACTCATTTCTTCTGATGTCTTTCTTCTCCCTTGTCGGCCGACTTCCACGTGGCAGGCTGAAAATATCCATGCTCGTTGTTGGTGTTAAAGGATCTGAGCAACTGCTTATGGCTTTCAGAGTACCCACAGAAGGCTCTTCTCCCAATGTTGGTCGCTGCATTAGACCCTAATGCTGTACGTACGGTTTGCAGAATGCAAGCGGATGGCTTTTTTCAGAGTGTAACGTTAGACCCTAATGCTGTATGCGTGAAGCTCTGCCTTTGCGGGGTTGTGACTGTTACTGTTGGCTGCCACACCGAAGGGTGATCTGTCCTCGGTGCGGTGCGTCTGAGCTTCCCTGCGGTGGGACTCGGCAGCTCGTACACCTGAGTTCTCATGTGGCAGCGGGTATAGCGTGCCTTTTCCAGGGCTGTTTAAATCTGCCCTGCGTCCCAGTGTCCCATCCGCCACCCCACCTAGAAGTGCAAACAGCTCCCCCTCCAGCCTGCAGACACCTCCAGCCGTGGCTCCCCGCCTTCCACAGAGCGTGCTTCTCTCCTTCCACAGAGTGCTCCCCTCCTTCCACAGGGTGCTCCCCTCCTTTCACAGAGAGTGCTCCTCTCCTTAACTCACGGCAGCAACACGCCAGCACACCCAGGACAGCCGCAGCAGTCACCCCGGCCTCCCCGGAGCTGATTCCTGGTGTGCGGGTTACCAATGCTGCGGAACACATGATTCTCGAAGTCGGCAGTGAAAACACACTGACAGCGGCCGTGTTCTGGCGCTCGGGAACCTGGGCCCCTCGGGCCCTCCGTCTCCCAAAGCCACTCATGGCTCCTGCCAACAGCTCTCCATTCCTCACCTCGCTTTTCTCCCCTCAGCCCACCCGAGGGCCCGAGGGCCATCCCAGCGGTGGCTCTAGAGGGCAGGTCCAGGAGAGGGGAGCCCATGATTGGGGGACATGGGAGACAGAGGCTACTGGCTTTTTTTTTTTTTTTGTCAGTCATGGGGCTTGAACTCGGCCTGGGCGCTGTCCCTCAGCTCTTCAACTCAAGGGGAGCACTCTACCACGTGAGCCACAGCACCCCTTCCAGTTTTCTGGGGGTTAATTGGAGATCAGAGACCCATGGAATTTCCCAACCGGGCTGGCTTTGAACTGCGATCCTCAGATCTCAGCCTCCCTAGTAGCCAAGATGACACACTTGTGCCACTGGTGCCTGGCTCCACCGATGTTTCTACCTTAACTCCAGAAGGGACAGCATCACTCCTGCCGCGTGAAGGAGTCCCACGCTCTCCCCATACCACGTGGGGGCCACGGCGGAGTGTGGTGTGGACGGCTGGGCCCCGGGACCGTTCCCAGCTGGCAGGTTCCTTGGCACTTGGTGCTTTAGAGCCTCACCTGTCGATGGAGACCATGTAGGGCCTCGCTTAGGAAGTTGTGAGAGCATGCTGACACGCTGGCCACCAGTGCTCACCCTCACAATCCTAGCTACTCAGAGGCTCAGAGCCAAACATCCAGGTTCGTAGCCACCCTGAGCAGGAAAGTCTAGGAGACTTATCTCCAATTAGCCAGAGCGGGGGTGGAGGGAGAACAACTGGGGGAGTGGCAAAAGAAAAGAACTAAAGGACAGTACCCAGCCCTGAATTCAAGCCCCAATACCAGCCAAAAAAAGAACATGGTCACAATCACTTGTAGACCTTGAGATGGCGTCCGGCACACAGTAGGCCCTGAGGCCTGGCACACAGTAGGCTCTCAGTAGGCCCTGAGGCCTGGCACACAGTAGGCCCTGAGGCCTGGTACACAGTAGGCTCTCAGTAGGCCCTCTGAGGCCTGGCACACAGTAGGCTCTCTGAGGCCTGGCACACAAGCTCTCAGTAGGCCCTGAGGCCTGGCACACAGTAGGCTCTCAGTAGGCCCTCTGAGGCCTGGCACACAGTAGGCTCTCTGAGGCCTGGCACACAGTAGGCTCTCTGAGGCCCAGCACACAGTAGGCCCT